GTGCTTTTGTCCGGGGGCCCCGCGTGAAAGACGCTGCCGCCGCCCCGCCAACGAGGAAGAGGGGCGCGGGCATCGCCGCCAACCAGCGCAGGGAGGGCGGGGACCGAGCCCGGGCGCTGTCTCGGCCCGGGCGCACGTGCGGGAGGGAGGGAGCGCGAGCCGCAGCCGGGCGGGGATGCAGGATGGCGGAGGCCCCCAGCCTTCCCTACAGGACCACCGGCTCCACCCTGCTGCACCCGCTCAGCCGGCTGCTGGGCATCCCGCTGGACCAGGTAGGCGCCTGCGCTCCCCCTGCCCCCAGGAAGGGAAGGGAAGGGGCGGCAGGGCATGCAGGCTGCCCCGCTCTACTCTCCCCTCCTGCCCCTGGGCCGGCGGCTCTGCTGGCCCCTGTGGGGCACGGCTCTCCTATTGCCCCCTGGGCAGAAGCACCCTGTGACGGGGGGGCTTGGTTCACGGCAGGAAGGACATGCCACAGCCACTGACAGCATGCCACTGTGGTGAAGGCACAACACACGGCGCAGGGCTGGGAGGCACCTCCCAGAGGTCATCTACTGCCAGGGGTTCTCAACCTTTTTTGGACCAGGATCCGTTTGTAAACATCCGTGGCCAGCATCCCTGACTCCTGCCTTGCTGGCCTCCTGCCCCAGCCCGCCAGGGTGTGGGACAGATGTGTGGCCTGCCAGCCTGCAAGGAAAAAGCCAGGGTTTCCCATGTTTTTGACCTTTAAAGAGGAATCCATTTTTTAAGTTTGTTCATGACCCTTTCATATATTCTTGCAACCCTCTTTTGGGTCATGGCACACGGGTTGAGAAACGCTGATTTAGTGGCCCACCCCCTGCCATAGGTGCAGCAGGGGAACCATGGCTGTCAGCCTCCTGCTTCTGTGAAATGTCATTATACACTCAGGAGATCCTGTGTAGAGAGCTGAGCCCCCACTGCAGAGGAAGGAAACCCCCCCCACGGTCTGTACCAGTCTGACCAAGGGACTCTCAAATTCCTGCCTGACCCCAAATAATGGTAATCAGTTTGACTCTGAGTGGAGGGGCAAGACCCTCTAGCTAGGAACCTCTGACTTGGGTCCCAGCACATGAAGGCAATCCCCATCCTTCCTGTGAAGTTCTTAGAGACTAAAAGCACCTGCGCAAACCATTGATGGGGATGGGATTCAGGAGAAAGCAGAGTGCCTGAGTGTTGGAAGGTAGCCTGTGTTCTCCAGCTCTATGCTTTGACAGATACTAGAACATAGATTTCATCCTAGAACACAGAGCTGGAAGGACTTCTAGTCCACATGCCTGCTCCAGGGCAGAATCAGCAATACCTAAACCTTTGCAGATGGATGTTGTCTGACTTGTTTTTAAAAACTTCCGAGGATGGAGGATCTACAGAGGTTATGTTAGCATGCCTCTCTTCACGATGCATCCCTGTAATCATTCTTCGGGGCTAATTTATGCTACATGCAGTGATGTTAAACTAAATACTTATGGGTCAAGTTTAAAAAAAAAAGAGTTTGGGATAGTGGTAGCCACCTAATAACCACTTAGCTGTTTTGACTAATTATTGTTCAGATGAGTTTTGTGAAATAGGGTGTGAATGCCTAACTCAGTTCATTCAGCTGTTACTCTTTGGATTGCACTTTTCTGCTGGAATGGGTCGTACAAGTAACTGTTGGAACTCAATGCACTTGTGCCGAGACATGTATCCAATGATTACAATAAAATAAGAAAAAAAGGCATGTTATGTAGGTGCCTTGAGAACACCCAAGACATGGTATATGTCTGTGCTCTTACATATTCATTTACAAGATCCTTGTCAGGTTGACCTATAACAGGCAAAGAAAATACTTTTTTTGTTCCCCTGTGTTGTTTCTTGAATATGCATGCACCTGCTGCCCTTCCTGCATTCTTTGAGCAATGAGGAAGTCAGGCCTGGAAATTTGTGGGAATTGGATACTCTTTGCTGTACAAAATGAATAAAAAGTTAGATAAGTGAGATTGCTGTGAGATAATTTACAACAGCAGAGATTTACTGCAGGCTTTCAAACCAGAGATTAAGATCATCTTATTTGCTGCTGTTTATTTGGTTTCTGAAACTGTAAGCCATTTTTACTAGTGTTTATTTATACAACTTAGTAAGGAAGAGACATCCGTGACTTTTTTTTTAAGGTTAACTTACCTGGCTAAACATGCAACTTTAAACATGTACATTCATGGGTGGGGAGGTGCTGTCACACAGTAGGTAACGGCATCTTATTATTAGTCCAAAAGTGTAAGTTTAAAGCTCTATTCTGCACTTGCACTGGAGGTTACCCCAAGTTGACCCCAAGTTTAAATTGAGCACCTTGTCATCCTGGCCGGGAAGTTAAAATTAGATGGATATGATACTAGCTGCATCCCACCGTGCACCATTGGTTATGGTTAAACTGATGTGCCTTAACCATGCTATCCTGAGGGGGTTCATGGCTCAGACAGATCTGGGTCCTGGGCCATCTCCGATTTTTGAGATATGTAATTTATTAAAGAATAATGGGTTTTTAAGATGTTAATACTTTAGTATTGAATACCTAAAGGAAAAAAAGGCTTATTATAAATCTGCAGAACCTAAAATTGAGTCTGACGTATCACAATATACTACTTACTTTACATGCAAAACGAGGCACATATATTGCATTCATTTCTTTTTTAAAGGTATTCTTTTCTATGCTTTATTTATGCTAGGCTGGAAACATTAAAATGTGTTAAAAGAGCCATATTTGGAACTTGCATTGGCCTGGAGCATTTATGCTGCTGTATAATATGAAGAATGTTTGACTTGCTGAAAAATGCATGCTTGACAACAAGTAGTTTTGCAGGTTTTCAAAAATGTACTCTTCCCTTTAGTTCAGATGGCATAAAAAACAGGTATTCTGTAGACAAAATTCACGCCTTTTTCTTCTCTCCCTGAATGGCTTTTGTGAAGAGAACTTAGTAGAGATTGTACTAGCCAGAATCACATGCACACACTCCAGGGTAATAAATAAAGAATAGGGAAGCAGTGAGAATTGTGCAGAGAGTTGAATAAGTGCTTGTAAGATCCACCTAAATTTGTTTATTTCTAAAATTGTGTCATAGGGTATGGGAAAATTGGGTGAGTATGCCCTTCTACTACAAGGCTAATTCTTACTCTGGGTTTTACTTAATCTTGTGAAGTGACTAGTCCATTCACTCATAAAACAAACAAACAAAAACCAACACAATGTCTTCTTTACCTTTGGAACGCACCAGATTGTGGTAAATGTCAAGGATTTTCATATTTTCCTGAGGGAGAAGACACTCAGACTTTTGCACCAGGACTTTATATCCTGAAATGACATAGTGAAGATTTTGCAGTGTACCTTTAGTTGACTGGATTTTATTTTGGTGGTTCTTATGTTAAAAGTAGAATCAACAACAGCAGGGGGAGAGAGGGGGAAGAAGCTCAGATACAAGATAGCTCTAACTTGAATAACTGGTAGGGGGCATATACATAAAGTAAAAAAGTACCTTTGTGACAAACTGTGTTTTCCACTTCTAAAAGGTAGTGAACTGTGTTTCAAAGGAACGCAGAGTTTTAGTGTGTGTTTAATTAGACAGTGCGTCTAAAATGATCAAGTATTCAAAACTAATGTTTATATATTCTGGGACGAAGAAGATGGCACGGTTTGCTGGTGTTCATATTAAAATAGTTGCCGTTTCTCAGTATAAATGGGATATTCTTGTTTTTTCATAAATAAAATATCTCTGGATTTAATATATCATTTATTAATTGGAATATTCTTCTACAAATACTTGAGCTGCAGAAGTAAATAGAGTGAAAGGAGAAAGAGATTTAGGCCTTCATCCTATCCCAGTCAAGCAAACCTTAAAGTGTAGATGATTTGTGTTCCAAAAACACTGAGACAGCACGATGAGATATGCCTCCAGTAACAACTGGCACCAGAGCATTTCTGCCCCATATGCTTACAGGCCCGGGTTGTACCACAGCCCATCCCACATAAATCTTAGTCAGAAACAGCAAATGAAAGAGCAGACTTGGAGTAATATAAATTCTGTGGACAATTTAATCTCGTCTAAGTAGATGTGCTTAACCACATTTTTAAAAGTACATTAAATGGTATCTTCAAAGACTTGCTTTCTTGTTCTTTTTTCTTAGAATAGCTGAAGTTGTTAAAATGTTTGTTTGAGTCCTAGGTGCCTGCACAAATACAAAAGATAAATAGACAGACAGAACTTTGCCACTCCAAGGTTGCTTCACAAAACAACTGGTTTGATATGTTAAATTACCTTTTCAGTAGACCTCTCTCCCCTACCATAAATGCCTATCCTGAGATCCTCAATTTGCCTCTTCTTTATGAACCTTTTCATCTTGGCCTGATACTTGTTGATTCTTAACAAGTGAGTCACAAAGGTAACATCCACCTCCCAGAGAATACTCTCCAGGGATCCTATCCTGTTTATACTAAGGGACTGTTATCTTGAGCACCTCAATTAACCAGAGCCTCTGTGATACCTGCAGGGGAGGGAGATAGGTCTAAACCATTTATGTCTTGCATGTCCCTTTATCTGGAAAAGTCAGTCAATTGTACATTGTGCCTAAATTTACTGATGATGGTTTTGTGTGCTCTAGCTATTACTTGGATATCTTTTTCCTCTTTGCTCCATTCACGGCCCATGGCTGAACTGCCTGTTTATGTCTTGGCAGTAGTTAAATCGAACATTTAGTCAAACGACTGAGGGACAAGCATGTTTCCATCCAAGTCTCAGCCCAGCCAATGTGTTGGGGACATCTTGACATTTAACTGGTGTGAATAGTTAGA